ATGATTAATAGCATTAATATTGTGAAAGATAGAACCCTCATACATTATGGAATAATAGTCATCACATTTTTCTTCACAAACAACTTTAGAATCTCCAAAGAAGAAATAACACTACTTATCCAAATTTACAAGCCATCCTTCTTTACAATTAGACAATTAAAATTCTGGCAAATTACGCACAACTCTTAACAATTATATCTACATTAGAACCCATTTTTATCAATTAAATCATCACATTCTTCATAATTTTCCACTATAATTCCGTCACCACATATAGTTTCACATTTGTTTTATTACTCATCCAATTTCCATTCAATGGTATCACTTTATAAACATCCATTTTAGTACATAAGCTACACGCCTGTTAACAACTGAATTAACATAAATAGCATCCATCATCTAATAGATTATATATATCTTCACAGATATTCTCTTAGTTCACTAATACTCCATCATCACACACTAACACTAATTTCTAAAATTTAGTATTTCCATTTATATCCTTAGACACAAGAACACAAACTCCCTTAATGCATTCTATCAATTAATAGAGCATGTTATTTAACATTAATTGCAAGGAATATTCTGATCATAATCATATTATTCTTCTTCAAGAATAAAAATATTGTCACCGCAAATACTATGGCAAGCTCCATCAATTTATAAATACAGAATAATAGGTTATTATTTCCATTTCTCCAAACCATTTTCTTTATCTAACCAAAAACAATCAAATGATAAATAAATTTAAATAGAATAAATAAGAATCCTTTTAATGTTGAATAGGGTTATATTAATTATTGAGATTGATCAGGCGTAAACGCTAAATCCATGTAAATAAGCAAATAAGAGGATTAAATTCAATTATTGTAAATAAAAAGTAGCTGAGCCTGTTAATAAATCTAATATTTGAGAAACGTATATTAATTTCTCGTAAGTTAAATAAAGTTAGCAAAGGCTTCATGAGAATCTAGTCACAGATTCCCTCTTCACAATCTAAGAAATGAGAGAGAATCGATTGTTGTCATTGCCATTCCTCTATATTCTTGCATCATATTCAAATGGTTGACGAAGAACTTCCATTCTTGATTGTATTTTCCAAATTTTCTGTAGAATCATTCTCCAAAACTATTGTCTCCTTTACTCTAAATGATGATTATTATTGGTGCATTGTTTCCATGATAGAAGGTTTAAATGCCTGATTCTTCATATGTCAATCATTAGAAAGAAATTTTTGGATGGAGGTACTAACTCTTTTTTTTCTTGAAGTTGTATCTATTCTCAACAGATTGTTAAAAATGATTTATCTAAATAATGATATTTTTTTTTGCCCAAATTTGGAAATTAAGATACAAAATTAAAATCAAAATCTCATTCATTCGGTTGTCTCAGCTCAGGGATTGCATCTTTGCTTTAAGGATCAACCAGTTCTCTTTTTAATTTGTCTAATTCTTTATCTACTCTAATTTTAAAGGAATTTTCAGTTTATTCTATTCTCAACTCAGTAATCAATTTATTCATTGTAAGGGATAGATGAAATTCTGTTATATAAATATGTCATTCTTTATTAGTGTTGTTAAGATATAGCCTAAGAGAATTTGAATAGTAAATGGATTTTATCATGAATGCAAGCAAGTTCTGAATTATCTTAGATTGTATGATCAGTTTTTGGTATATCTAATCCTTTGCAATCTAGATATCTTCAAATAACTTTTTTGATTTGTAATTCGTATATAAAATTTACTAAGGTATCATATTCTTTGCAGACCAATTTAACGAAATTATTGGTATGTTTTATGGTAATCTCATATAATACAAGGAATAACAAATAAATAAAAAAAGTTACATAATGTATCGACAAACAATTTTCATGTTCATAATCAATTCTCGAGCATAATGGTTCTGTATACGGACTATCCTACTGTTAATAAGAAGACAAAATTATTTCTTGTGGGTTAGATTGTATGATTTTAATATTCATGATTTTTTATCATGATCATCTTTAATCTCTAATTTTTTTATAATTATCAAATTTGCGCTAATTGTCTGGATGATAACCAAAACAACATGTAAATATAAACATCAATCCCATAATAAATGCCATAATGATAAATACTATTCCAGATATTGAAAAGAGCCTCTTAAATTAATTACCCTAAGGCTTTATAACTAGAGGATCTAAAGTAAATTCAATTAATTAGCTAGCTTTTTAAATATAAAAATTTACTCTAATTCATCCCTTGTTATCCAAACAACATGTAGAGAATCTTAAAAAAGGCTTATAGGCTTCGTCATTTTAATTCAATGTACAGCACATTCAACAACCAATTTTTTATAAGGAAACTTCTCCCGTTAAATCGTAAAGTTATGGAGATTCACAGAAGTTAGATAATAAAGAAAGATTTGCTAAACATTAAGCTTAGATTTCTCCCTACATACACTCAATAATTTAATCCAATTGAAAACCTTGGAACAGTTTGAAAACAAATTTAAATAGACAAGATAATCTAATGACAATTGGTATATAGAATTATATTCATAATTATTTTAATTTGATAAGGGAAGTGTTGGATCCAAAAAATTATTCCCCAATTTTTCTTCTTTCTTCATTTTCCCTCACAGTTCCATATTCCAATATCCACTTCCTTAGTATCTTACGGGATTCTTGATTTCTCAGGTTTTATGTCGTTTCTTCCCTTCCCTTCGATTCCTAATTTCATCTCTTGCATCATTTGTGGTGAATTAACGTCACATAGGAAAAGTTTCTTGCTCTCTCTACTCTCGGGTAATTAATTCTTCTACTGGGAGCTAGACCCAGATAGGTCATAGACGGCCTGAGTTTTATCTGTATTTCTTATCTGTCTATGCGTGGGCATGGTTGTCTTCAACCATAGTCATGGAACTCTATTTATGTCAGTTTGATGTTATCGCTTAATAGGAGTCTTTGACTCTGCCTGGCATACTTTTATTTGGGGAAAAAAATTTACTCAAACAATAAAAGTTATTTTTATTTTGATCACTCTCATTTAAATTTTAAAAGTAATTAATTTGAGATTAATAATATTTATTTATTTGTAATTTTTAGTAATTAATTATCTTACAAATTACCATATTTGAAAATGATCGCATTTATTATGGATATAAATATGCAGAAATTAAGTCTGCATTTAATGAATCCAATCATGAATTGTTAATTTTAATTGCAAATTAATAGTAAAAATTATCATTAAATTATAATTTAGGAATTGTAAAAACAATCTTCAAAATGAATAGAGTAAAATTTTTCAATATCAAATAGATTTTGAAAGGTAAGAATAGAAAAAAATAGTGGATATACATTATGTATGAATTAAATACTTTGAATCGAATTATTTCTTTATACACAGAATGCATTGTTCATAGTTAAATTATACAAAAAGGTACGTCTTTCAATATAATTAGAATAAGTGTACCCTTTAGTAAGTTTGCATAATTCTTGTTAGATATCTTACAATTTTAGGAAAAGTTATGTTATTTTCTATTATTTATTATAAAGAGACTTGAACAATAACAGACCTGTAATTAAATTCTTTTATTATTATTTACTTTGCAAGTATTATCTTCAATTTCATTTAATTATATTTCCTTCATAACTTTTGAACTAGTTCCATGTAATAATTGGGTAAAACCACTTGTTGAATTATGAGAATAATGATTCAAAGTTAGATTTTTAATTAATTAAATCAAAAGAAGTTTTGTTTTTCAAATCTAAGCAAACCATAAATTAAAGCTTAATGAAACAGTTTGCATATAAAAACAGATTTATCATTTAAATAAGAAATAAGCCATCATATCTTCTTTTTAATTTCCTTAATTGCGTAAAATAAATTCTCAACCTATCAGGATTCTAAAATATGAAACCTTATATTTATCATGAAAGTTCAAGACAAACCTAAAAGATGGCAATTAAAATAATTGGTATGATGATCATAACTTGCATTATCATGTTTGAATTTATATTTTTTTCTCGAATTGTTGAATATTGTTATCGAAACAGTAAGAATGATAGTAAAATGTATCAGGTGATTTTTCACTTAAATATATCATACTTCTGCTGAAATAATAGTAAGCTTTCTTTTTATATGAAGCGATTAGACTTAACAATATTCCAACCAATAAACTTTGAGCAAAATCATTTGATATAGTATTAATTATAAAATAATGTAATATGAGGCTTAAATACTATTCAGATGGAAAATGAATAAATAAAGAAGGAATGAGTATGTTGTAGAAGCTAAAATTGCTTTTTAAATTGGACTTGGAATTAAATTGAATTACAATCCCAATTTTCAAGGTGACATCAGAAGAATGAAATAAACTAGTAATGGTTAATAAATTTAGGATTATTGGATTATATGTTATCAACAATTAGAATTGACAGCACAGATTAATCTAATCAAAATAATGAAAAAATCTCTCATATCCCTCTGGGTATATAAACTCAACCCCTTCTTAATATCTTAAATATTAAGATCTATCTTCTCATTAAGTTCTTCCAAAAAAGACTAATTGTTAAAAAGGAATAATAGCAAAGTTTAATTGTGACCTTACACTGTTAATGTAAAAATTAATTTTATAATTCACAAAAGGTTCGAAAAAAAAGTAAATTTAAATGTAAATAATATAAATTGAAACTAATAGCAAGTGAGAGAAGATAATTTTGTCTTTAGAGAAATTGTACATCAAAGGAAACTATTTGAATTAGGATTCATAAGAAAGATTATCTGATCAAAATAGAATAATATTTGAATCATAAGACTAATTTACAACATTATTTCACTCGAGAAATGATCTCAACAAAATCAATGATCAGTTGGTTGTTCCTAAATTCATTTACAAAATTATGGATAGAAACTTTATATTTCTTCATGATATTATCTACTCGAATTCTGCCAATATTTCATTCAGCTTCTAAAAATTTAGGTTTTGCTCTCCAGTCTTTGTCCCTTATTTCTCTCTCTCAGCTCTTTAAAGAATTAATAAATCCAATGCCTTGGCTTCATTCCTCAAACTATTTAACTCCTAAGTGTATTGTTTCTTAGTTCAATTTTCAGATTTTTGTTAGCCTGATGAAGAAAATATTAATTACCCATCTGTCTATTCTAAATTTTATCAAGGAATCATAATGTAATTATCTTTCAACAATTAACAAACCGATGAACCTATCATTTTTATTGATAATTTGATTTGGAACTTTTTGTTTTACATTGTTTTACTTTCCTCAAACTACTAGGCAATTTGTAATAAGATTTTTCATTAGTTTTATTGTAAAACTCAGTTGCTTAACATTGTTGATTAATTAATCTCTAGCTTGGCTAAATTCGTAAGATCATTCCAATTCCTTCTCAATCTTGTTTTTTATTTTTCCTACATTCAGTAAAATTAATTAAACCATGTTGATAAATCAGCAAAGATATGTTTAAGGTGATTTTTGCAAAAATGAAAAAATCTTAGATTAGTTGTAGGAATGGTAGGTTGATTCATTTATAGTGATATATTATTGAAAAGACAACTCTCAAAAGAGTTGAAGATAAAGGCTGAAATACTCTAATTGATATCTAAATACTTTTCTAATGAAGCGATTTAAAATTTGAGAATTTTAAAATTGACTAGAATGGATTCTGAGTTAATTGACAAATCATTGTAGCCTTCTGATGCATTTTTATATTAGAACCATCAAAAATTCATATATTGAATAAGGTTCGTTTAGTGGATGAGGAAGATGATAAATAGTAGCCTTTAATAAATGAGATATAAAGACTGATCTCGAACAAACGTTACAAGACACCAACCATCCATTTAATAAGAAGATTATTTAGTCAAGGCAGAGGTCGTAGCTTAACAAACTAATCAAGAGATGCCATTTCCACTTAAATTGTTTTCATGAGCTTAGCAATGATCTTCAATAGTTTTAACATATAAGTGGATCACTATTAGAGTATTGGACACTAGTTGTAGTGTGTCCATATGCATAAAGACATGGTGTGAGTGAACTTAAAAATTGATTTGGGCTATGTAAGTTTGAGTTCTCATAGGAAAGTTGAAGAGGGCAGGGAAAAGATTGAAGTGCATTTATCTTAAAAGCCCAAAAAGGAGAATTATACTCTCTGTGCAAGCAATGACACTAACTTATTTAATATACTGCTGATAAACGATAATTATAATCAGAAATAAATATGTCTTCAGCCAACTTATACAACTGGAATTGAAAATACTAAGATTGTAGCATTACAACATGTAGAGAAGCAGTGAATATGAGGATAACTCCCTAAACAAAAATACAGTTAAAATGGACAAGCTGATTCGCATATTGCTATTTTACCTAAGAGAGAAAAAAAAAGTAAAAGATTTTATAGTAAAATCAGTATCAGAGATAAGAGCATAAGAAGTGAACATAATAATAAGTTATCATTGATAGGTCTAATACAAGAAGCTTTGCAATAATCACAATGTATATTAATATTGTTAGATTATTATTAAAGTTTGACAGGCAAACAATAGTTAAATCAAAAAGGTTACACATAAAGTATATTAGGCAGCAATAGCATATTGACAGGGAGTAAGAATATGCATTACAAGTAGGTTAAGTTAAGTAATTTTAGGGGGAAGCCTAGCATGAATTATGCAATTTTAACTCATAAGCAGAAAAATGTTGTAGAGAAACTGAACATGTATAACTGATTTAATTAATAAACGCAATACAAGGAAAGGCAAGCACAATATATACAGATTTTGACTCAAGACACTTGTGATATAACATTAAGAACAAGCACCAAGATCTTGGGAGTAGTCTTAAATATATAGAAGCAATAGCTGATACAGTTGCTGAATATTCACAAGCTTACTAGCATATGCTGCGCATTCAAGTTCATTAAGGGGATTCTAAAGTAGTATTAAATTAGCATGTCTAACAAGACAGGCGATAAAATTATTGAAACAAACAGTAAATGGTTAGATGGCGAAAAAATATACATAGGTTTTGTATATCGATTTACAAAGAACCACTTATAATAATTTGAGGAACTGCTAGTTCAAAAACTGGCACAACGATTCCATCAGATGGTAAAATTCGTTCCATTTCTTAAACTAGCTAGCATTGTAATCATCCAGCCAATACTCAACAATTGATAATGTTAGACAATGATGTTAACAATATAGCTAAAGACTTGAGTGTATATAAAGCTGTCTCCAAAGGTAGCTTTCCACACATCCAATTGAACTTGAAACATAATATCCAACTCAAATTGGATAAGTGGATATATACGAGATTGGGTTGCAGAGGGCATGAGATGATTAGCAAGTAGATATAAAGCAAAAATGACATCAGGAGATATTATCACAAAGTTAATATGAAAGAATGCAAATATATATTGAAATAGACAAAATCTAAAAAGCTAAACTGCCAAAGCCTTTAAATATATAATTTTTCATGACTGATTTTTATAATTGTAAAATTAAAAAATAAAGAATTTCCTTTTAAAGCAGAGAATTTAAAAATCTCAAATATAACATGTTTTTGATCATAAGATGAAAAACCAAAAGGAATGTGTTTTTTATAAAGAGAGTTCTAATATTGATTGTCACACAAATTATGCAATGAATTAACAACACGAGCTAGCAGTGCTTGGTCAACTGGTTCTTTTGTACATTCCAATGAAGCAGAAAATACATAAACTAGTAGTAGTGTTATACAGAGAGCTTTTTGTATATAAGGATAGCATTGTGCAACCAACTCCATTTAAAAATGTGTACCCGATATTTTATCTGTTAATAATTCCTTGTGTTCTGATATCTTACAAGTTGCATAAGCAAACTCCCAAAGCAAGCCTAAATACATTCTGTGACTGTTCATTACAGTACAGTCAACTTTAAATGAACAACCTTTGATTATATTGGACGCTCGCTCTGAGCATCTAAATAATCTAGATGAAAGAATAATCAAGACAAGTTCCAAAAGAGCAGTAAATTGAATCAAATGTGATAACATCAGTAGTGATCAAATGAAATACTGAATCAAAACCACAAGTATAAAAATATAATGCCTAAGCTTAAGAATATATCAAGTTAAGAAATTGAACCCTGAGATTTTGATTATTGATTCTGTGGTCAAGACATTTTTTTAAATGGACAGAAATAAATCCAGGGACCCAAGACTTAAACATGTATGTATCTTATATGTACAAGATAAATTATCTTGTTGGATACATATGTAGTTAACCAAGTTAGACAGGTAGATACTGATAGATATGCCAATATTGACTGACACAGTAAGTTGCATCTACTGTTAATGATATTGTCGTGTATTATCCTTTTGATACAATTGTTGATATAAATAGTACATATATTACATTACTACCATGTAACAAGTATGCATCATTTCAAGATATTCAAAAGGGTGTTGCTTGAACATTTTTAAATTGACATTTAAGATGTACCGCATGTATTATTGTTTGGATTCGATGCATAACCACAAGTTGAGCAACATTTAATTCCAGAATTTTTTCATGTGGCACAATGATTACAACAGTTGGCAAATTATGTAGCATATCTGTACACCTAATAACACAATAATCAGAATAAATATCTGAAATCAAAATATGTTAGACGAAGAGTTTTAACCTTGTAGAACTTATTATTGCTGGTATATATAGTATCAAAGGGTGTAAGCAGTGCATGTATTTTGATCTTAACATATAGTGATTGATATGAACATGTAGCATTATATCAATTGCAACTCTTATAGCTCATGTGAAAAGAGACATAACATGAGTTATTATAAGAGGCAGAGTCTTGTAAAGGTTGAAGCTTTAATAAACCCTGTGCAACTTCAATCAGCATCATTTTATATATTGACAGCAAACAAAAATTCATTTGAAAAGTCTATTTTAATTGATATACTATAGCGATAATTATGTTAAATAGAATTTAAAAAGAATGAAACTTAAAATATTTCAGTTCTCATTTTTTGTAATTTTAATTGATGAAAAAAACTGTTGGGAAATTCTAGAACCATATATCTCTAATAAAAAAAATCAAATATTATGGGAAATCTATATATGAGTTTACTTCCACCAAATTGTAGATTATAACTTGGATATTAAATTTTGTTGAACATTTTGAAAATTTGATCATCGCTTTATCAAATGTGGACCAAAAAAATCTACTTAAGTAAACTTAAGAATTTATTCAATTAATTTAATGAATAAATATGACTGTTGCCTAAGAAATTGAACTTTTTTATCTAAGAAGGGCATTGTGAATGTAAGATTTGCTAAGAAATGTTCAAGAGTTAGTAAGGCTTAAAACTCACATTACACACGAAAACATTAAAGAGATACCAATAATTTTTGAAAGTTAAAGTAGTAAATGTACTTTAATGATAGCAATTAATTACAAAGTTTTTGGCAAGGTAACATAGTATTGAAAGCTGTGTTTAATTTTTCACCTTAAACAAATTCTTTTCGAAATGAATCATCCTAAATTATTATACTTTTGTACACAAATGGAAGCCAAGCACATTTCATCTAATGATTCAGAAGAACACTAGTTTAGATATTCAGCATTTGATCAACATTCTATTGTAATTTAATATCAAAAAAGACAAGCGAACACAATATCCAACTAAAGATTAGTATTTTTTTTGTTGATTCTGTGATAGTGAATTCTTGATGTACTTGTGCAATATAATTGAACTTCAAAATTTCAAATTATATAATCCTTAAATGAAAATTGCATAATATTATTCGTAATGATTATAATAAATTACTATAATCTATAACTTCAAGTCTCAATCATCACAATTAATTTCTTTTTTTGAAGAAAAATTACACTTAAGTTATTTTCATAACCATAGTCATAAGATAAATGATTTAAGTTGCTTTTTCAAAGAATTTATTTAAAACTAATAACTTAACTTCTTGCAAAGTTAGGAAAATGTGTCATTAATATTTCTCTCCTGCATTCTGATCCTTTTGTTAATTATAATAACAAAATCACTTCTGGTTAAATCCTCAATTTATAGCATTCATGCAAATAGTTACCTTAAAATAAATTTTTATTCATAATTCTGATTAATTATTTTATGAATATTTCAATTCGTTATTATTATTTATTAAAAACTATGTATGTTCTGTTTCTCTAATTCATTATTAATTTCAATCTATGAATTGATTAGTGTAAATGGTGATGTTACATCTATGTTGTTAATTTAAGGGTTTTACTATTTTATTGAGGGAAAACTGAAGATTGAATACAATAATACCTCTTACGTTATGATAATTCAATTATAACATAGGATATTATTCTTAAAATGCTTAGCTGAGTTTAAAAATCAGCATAAAATTCAGAAGCTGAATAAACTTTAATATAATGAATAACTAATAGCAAATTTATCTGAGTTCTCAACTAAAATAAAAATTCTTATATTTTCTTAATCAAAATAAATTTGAGAACTTTGGATTGGGAGCATGGTAGCAAAATTTCCGTTATTTAATAATTAAATGTATTGATCAATATATATTGTAATAATAATAAAATACAATGATTTTCAAAGACGGATTCATTTAGAATTACTTTAAATTATAATTCTATTTACTAAAATTGTAATAATAAAAAAAGGTACTTTTTCTTGATTATTGGTAATAATCCAATTCATAATTAAATACAAAATGGACTCTTCTTCTTCTGAATTATTTTTGGCTAATTGAATTAATGAACAAAAGATATCCTTAGATATAGATAAGGTCTGGTCCATTAAATCTCTAAAGGCTCTCCTCTTTAATCATTTGCATACAACATTAATTTGGATTTTTAAAAGTACTATTGCCTTTTATTGTTTCTCTCAAAACAATAATTCAATGACAATAATTTCATATTATAATTGAGTTTTCAAATTATTTCAAATTTTATTGTTCTCTGTCTTCGTGTTAGTCTTCTTTTAATAAATCAAGCTTTTGTTTTATAACCTAGATATTTTTTAGCTAAATTTTTACAATTTCTTTTATTAAATTAGTAATTAACGATTTTAAATGATATATTTGAGATTTATTTTATTCCCAAAATTAACTAATATCATCAATAATCTATTGTAATGGTTATTAAACTTAGTATCTGCATGTGAATCTAATCAGTTTCTTTTCTTTTTTGCTTTAGATGTAAGTATATTTGTACTTTGAATTGCTCTTTTTATCATTTTTCAAGTAGTTAATAGCGCCTTATATTTTTTCTATTTCCTATTTATATTCATTAAAGATCGATTTGAGTTAAGAATTATTTATATATTATCAGTTGATAATAAAAAAATTAGATATTTTAATAACTAAACAATACTTCTTAAGGCATTATTTCCTTTATGGTGGATATCTAGGAAACGCTTTGATAGAATAAAACCTTCTGGTTTTGTTATCATATTATCTAACTTATTTAATATCTTTTTCATTTTAATTTCACAATTTTAAATTAACTCTTCCTTAGGTGAAAAGGATTAGTAAATACTTAAAAATAATTATTTTAACTCTTTGCTGAATTCTTCCATTTAAATCATTAATTATTGAGTGTATTAAGTAAAAATCTTGATTAAAAACATCTTGAAATTTTAAAGTATGTGTTATTTCTTAAAACCTATTTATCAATTATTCAAAGTTATATCTAAATTCTTTCTTTTATCCTACTTGTTATTTAAACTGTTAGTCAAATTCCTCATCCTCATGAGAATAAATATTTTTTTCAATGACATACCTGAGGATCTTTAGGGATTAGATCATTAATAAAAGCTTATAAATTTCTAGCATGAAATCCATATTTTATAGTAAACAGTTCAAATATGAAAAGAGTTGAAATATCATTAAAATATTCAAATAATTTTGTTTAACATTATTGCAGAAATATTTCTTTTAGTTGAGAAATTTCAATTAATTTCCCGAATTATTTTTATTAAAACATGCTGAACATAATTCTCGAATTCTCCAAAAGGAATCCAACTAATTGATGAATTTATATAAATTAACAAAATGATTTTTATCTAAAATATTTTCAATTTATTTATATTTCATAAATATCAAACTTCTTTCCAATATCTTCCCAAATTATTAAATAGTTTCCATCCTTTGTTAATGTTCCAATAATAAATGATGTTGAATAATTTATCTAAGAGAGTAATTTTAATTTACCTTCATTTGATATCTAAATAATGTATACATGTAATTTTTATTTGAAGATCATGATCTTCTTTTCTTTGTTATAGCAGATTGGAAATAAATTTGCATCGATTCCATCACTATTAAATAATTTCAATTCTTCAATAATTTAAAGTTGTAGGTTTTTTTCATTTTATAATTCGAAAAGGCTGATTAAATCCTCTTCTTCGTTTCCTGTTCCTAAAATGAATTAGTGATCATTTATAAAACTCAACCTCGATCCTAGTGATTGGATTTCTAATGTAACTAGATTTTCAAAATACCAATTTTGTTAATTATCTTTCTTCCAAATTATTATTTCGTTAAGATCGAAAGAAACCAAAGTATTTTCAGATTAATTTAAACCTAAACTATATATATCATTCTTATGTTTATCTAATGAGTATAAATAGCTTAATTAGTTTTTTTAAAAATCAACTTTCCAAACTTTAATCGAAAAATCTCTTCCTCCAGAGATGAGTTGATTTTCTGTTTGATTCAAAATCAAACAGTCTATGCAATTAGTATGTTTTTAATAGAATTAGGAACTCATCCATACTTTATCATTTATTAAATCCAACAACAGATTGTTTAATCATAACTGGCTGATAGGAAACTATTGCTCTTTTTACTAAATATAAGACAAGTAATCATCCATTTGTGGCCGCTAAGAGTCGTAATTTAGTTCAAAATTCCATTTTAAAAATTCCATACTTTAATCTCACAATTACAACCAGATATCATGAGGGTTCCAGATTCATTAAAAGATAATGCACAACATTCATCTTGATAATCAATTGAATTCTCCAAAGATTTTACATGTGGAAATAAATTAATATTGCCCAATGTTTTTTCACATTATTTATACAAATCTTAGTTTTAAAGATTGGATAATTTGATTTTTATTTTGGCACTAAGCGAATCGTTATTTAATTTAATTTAATCAATAATAGATTCTTAATTGAAAATGTTTTCCTTTGGTCTATTAATTAGTGCTTCTAATTCATCAAGAAAACTATATGTTGTATTAGCTTATCCAATATTGTTAAGGCTTTTAATCCAGTCTATAGAATTTGATATCAATTCATCCAATTATTAATTAAGGTCCGATTTTAGTTTATGAATTTGGTTGATCAATGATTCGACCATATCTTAATTGAGTTTGATTATTCTTTCGATATTTTCTAATTTAGTTTTTTGATGTTCTTCCATCATTTTGAGTGTCTTTTTAAATCCAATCATTTTACTTTCTGATTCAAAGTTTTCCATACATTATGCACACAAAAGATGTTCTTCCCTCTTTAACTTTTTATCAAATATAACCATTAGTATTGGTAAATTATGTTTCTAACTGCAGTTAATCTAATTTTCTAATTCTATCATTTTTGGTTGAAGCATAAAAAATTAATTAATTTTTACAACTGTTTCTATATAATATGAAATGATTATATATTCAGTTTTCAATTTATTTTCAACTTAAGACAATAAAAACTACTAAATAGAAATTAATTGCTTAAAGATGTCTCATAATAAAAAGATTCTAAATTTTCTTATATTTAGATTTCATAAAATTCTTTAAATATAGAATATCAATGGGGATATTTTATTTGTTCTTGTTCCAATTATTATCTAATTTCAATCAACTCAACAACATTGTATGGATCTACATTCACTAGCCATTGATAACCTTAACTCAATTTCATTAATTAAATTCTCCCTTTATATCATTGATAATCTAATTATAAAGCAGAGATTAAAATTAACTTTGAAAACCAAGTCACATATCAGATCTTTAACCATGAAACAACCAAACTCATTAAAGACTCTCAGTTGTTGATAGAAGATTAAATTTCTATTCAATAAACATCATAGATTTGAAATTGATTTTACTAAAAATAAGGTTTCTAAAGAAGTTGTAATAAAAATAATTGTTAAAAGTAAGGACCTTTCATTAAAATAAATTAATTATGTACTTGGCAATCAATTATTTTCAATATGATGTGTAATTTACTAATTTGAAAGTCCAATTATATTTTAATGTAAAATATGTTATTGCATTTGAAAAGTAAGTCGATATTCCAAATGATGATCCAGAAATTCAAGAAATTATAAATAAGAAACGGATTTTAGGCATCTAGCTATTGAAGAATAAGTATTACCTCCTTCTTTATATCTTTTAATGCTCAATATGTTTCTTCATTTTTCTCTCATTTGTTGACACTCTGCTATTCCAAAAATTAATTTAAACTTATAAATCGCTGAGAAACTAAATAAAATGATTTATTATTATTTCAAAACTTCACTAAATAGATGAATGCCGGTTAAAACAAATCTGCAGTGTCTTAAATGTACATTTAAGTTAAATGCAAATAAATATTAAATAAGAATAAATTAAATATTTAAGAATTGATCTTCCCCATGTTTTTCATGTTGCAAACCACATATGACCTGAATAAATCTTTATAGACAACTACTAACAAAATGTGAATTTCAAATGATATCTGGTCTTTAATTATTAATTGAATTTAGGATGGCAGCTTATTATTACTTCCTACTTAAGTAACTATATCAATCAGTGTTGCTCAAATTGCTACCAATAACACAGCGTTTTAGTTTTATGTGTTTAGCAGCCTAATGCTCATTAAATTCATTTAGGATGTATTTGTGTCTTATAAAAGTAACACAAAAGAATGTAAGGAATACACCCATACGAATTGCCATAAAATAAACTAAAAGTATCTATAATGTTTGTTTCCATAGCACATGTGGTTGCTGATTAAACAACACAGGAATACTAATTTTATTGTGCAACTATGCTTTAGATATAGTGATAATCAATTAAGTAGTTTATTGGTATTTAACAGTAGTCATAATTTTTGGGTTAGGGATGTCTGC